TATGTCTTCTGCCATTTTAGAGAGTATCACGACACATACGCACGCTTTCCCCTAAGCATAAACAATGCTGATTAGCAGATTACATTCATGCGCGCACTTTCACCCCCGAACATAAACAACGCTGATTACCAATAATGTACAGTATGTGGAAAATAATGTGTTTTTTGAACCTTAAACCATTCATTACATTCATTACACCAAATACACAAAATAATGTTCTTTTTGGCAACATCATATGACCCCTTTAATTTGTGTTGTGAAGATGAACGAAGGTCTTACAGGTTTGGAACGACATGTGGGCGAGTAATTAATGACAGAAGTTTCATTTTGGGGTGAACTAACCCTTTAAAATAAATTACAACACTTCAGTGGCTCTTGCGGTCCTTTTGTTTGTCCACTGAGTCGCAGGCCAGTAATGCTCATTTGGCTTTCTCCAACATGCCATAAAAAGTCCACACAGGGCAGTGATTGTTTCCTTTTGGCCCAAATGCCACAGTGACGTAAACAGTTTCCTTTGTCCAAATGAAAAATCTGCAAATTTATTTTGTATTTATTTATTTTTTTGCTAAAAGGTCCATGTCAGAATGTGTTTTAAGACAAAGAGTTTTAGTTCCTCGAGAAGCTCCTGAGGGTTTACAGACACACATAGCCTACTGTATGGAAAAGGAAAGAGGAAATGGAAACTGAATCAAAAAGAAAAACACAATCATGAAAAAGACATTCTGTATTTGCAAATGTTAAAGAAAACAGAGCTGAGATGCCACAACCAAATTTACATGCAAGTACTAAAGAACAGAGATGGTTGAAAAAGGATGTTTTCTGTATTTCAGAGAGAGAATGAGGGAGGAAAACAATGCTGAGATTGTTCATATACACCCAGTAAAGCATTATTATGTTAGTGGATGCTGATGCACATTTAACCCTCCTCCACTCTCAGGTTCTGTTACAAATACAGTTGGGTCCATATATCTGTACTGTGAAACATCGGATTAAATCTTAAACTGTATCTACATTCCCTTTGGGAGCACTGACAGTATTTTGTTTGGTTCATTAAATGCTTGTTTATGCACAAGTACAGCTTTAGCATTTGCGCTACATAGCTAAACACCTAAAGAACAGTATTTTTGTCTGGTGGCTGTGTTCAACTCTGGTGACTCAGAATGCTGATTAACATCTACTCCGGGTGCATGTTCAGTCCTGCAGGCCACTATGCATTGGGTAGCAATTAAAAAAAAAAAAATGTAATCTGATATATGAGCTCTGGATTTTTTCAGATAAGACTATAGTACGTTTTCTTAAAATCAGGTCTGAAAGTCTTCAGTTTTGTGGACCTGATGCTCAGTTAATTTGGATACTTTCCAAATGTATAAATTATCCATTTTCACTTTGAAAACCTCAGTTGATATATAAAGACTTAAGGACCATTCACAACAAGGATGATAACTATCAGACTGATTTTTTTTTTTCCAGCTGATGAACAATAATACAAAAATACTGACAACCAATCAGAATTTATTTTGGATTTGTTTTGGATCTTTGGTTTAACATCACGTAAATTCACCCCTTTCTCCCAAATTACATAAAATTGTCACCGTTAATCTAGGACAAGAATAGAGTGAACTTTATAGTTACCTACACAACGTGTTCCTATATGAATAAAACACGTCATCAGATTTTAATTGAAAGGATTAATATTTGGTGCTTTCCTTAGACACCAGTGTATTTAACAAACTCTCAAACATCAGTGTGTATTTAACAAATGTCTGTTTTGCTAGTAATTTAAATGTCTGAAACCTAAAATCAATTTCATGTGGTTGAAAACACTGATAGTGCCAGACAAAACGTTTGAATTTAACAGTGAATGTTCTAAATACACCGGTGATGGTCCACATCGAATGGTTAAAATCAGATCCGAGGGGTGCTCCTCAGTTGAAATCGCGTTCGGTTTAGATTGCTTTCCGCATTTAAAATCGTATTCCGGGGGTGGTGGGGTAGGTCCTTCAGAATTGCAGGGTAGGCTTCAGAACATCATGCAATAAGCCCCTCCTTGATGCCGGGCCTGCTTTTGATTACTTTTCTAAATTTCTAATGAATGTTTTCAACTGTTAACCATTTTCAAACATACAGTAGTAAAAAACAGTAAACTTACAGTAGTACTCAACACTGATTACTGTCAGACTTTCAAAATCCTTCATCACTTGAATTAAGATTATAATTACATTTTTAAAGCAGTCATCACAAATCAGTCTTTAGCATCTCTTTTTACTTTTATGATTGTTCTGAGGTTAAATACAGATTTAGAAATAGTAAATATTAATACAAGAAATATTCAGATGTAACCCCCTTAATAATCGTTAACTGTAATTTAACTACACATTTTTTTTACGGTTACATTTATTTTGTAATTATATTACGTAACGCAGTTACTCCCCAACACTGCTAATCATTATAGTTATCATTCTTGGAGTGAATGAGCCTTTAGAAACTGAAATTGGTTTCACTTCATTTGCACTTGTTTTGCTGATAATGTAATGGTTTTTCCCCATTAAATTAGAAATAAAGAAAAACAGAAGCATTTTCACTAGTGATCTCAAACTTTTGGTACCACTCATTATATTCGTGATTCTATATGCAAATAGCACGTATAAAATAATAGCCCATGGATCCTTATACATATATAGAATAGTACTTAAATTAAAGCATTTGTTACTGGGCAAATTACTTTGCCAGTGAGATAAAAGGAGTTTAAAAATGAATAAGACACTCATTATTATGTAATGAACAAAGGTCATTTCCCATCCGTTGTCATGTGTTGCACAATTTCACAATCCCATAGGTTTGGGGACCCATTTTTGTCTTGGATAATCATCCAATTTTGAACAGGGAATAAAATATAAAATTCTGTGAGATATGTTAATTTTGATTTGCTCATTCTCGAAAATCACATTTATTTGACATTAAAAAGGTTGGGTCTATTAATGTAACGGCTATAACAGTGTTTCACTTTGACACAAATTGTTGCGATTTCCCTTAGGATGCAATCAGAGGTTGAGGATAATGCTGATGATGGGGAAACAGGAGGGACTGTGGGCTGTTCCATTGTGTGAACCTTTAAACAAACGACCTTTAAACAAACTCAAAGGTTTTTCATGTTCTCCAACAACAAACAGCAATTTGGCAGTGCCAACAATCACATAATTCCCCTTCATAGGGCAGCTGAGGAGGGGGACTGCAAATAGTACATACAGTGTGTGTGTGACAAAGACGAGAGCCGCTCACAAACAGGGAAGAGTTCACAGGGAACTCATTAACGCATTCAAGCGTCTATCACAGGCGGTGACCTAGAAATGAGGGACAATTCCACAAAAGGAATAACAAGACAATAAAGCCCTTCTTTTCCATGGATGGCATCCACTCAATCAGATAGATCCAATTAGAAAAGAGGCTAAAAAGCGGACAGCCATTATAAGTATGGGCACTATCCCAGCCCAAACACCTAAAACTGTTCCTATCAGTGTAAACATTGTCTGGGAAGATGTGCATAACTCGCAAAATTAAGAAATTACATAGTAAATCTTGCATAAGAAATGCCTTAAGATGTAATTTGAATCAGAAAAGACTCAAAAATTAGACAAAGAATGAATATAGTCTTTGCGAGACCCAACAACATCTCAAGTATGCATTGTAGTGGCATGAAGTGCTCATCATTCATGAAATATTAATATGACACGTGCCATTCAAAAGAATGACTGTTTGTTAGTGCCTATGAATAATTAATTTGGCCGAAGTGGGTCTGAATGATGCAATCCACTTAAATATGCATGAGAATGACATCAATGAACAGAGAACCTTAAAATAAAATACACGCTAATCTTCTTCATGATCTGAACGTATTTTGATCAGGTACTCAAAGTCATGAGTCAAAGAAACAATAGGAGAATATACAGAGAAGATGGAGACAATACTTTCAATTATATCACTTTTGCAGTGTTCCAAACTTGTATGACTCTTTTCCGTGCAATACAAAAGTAGTTTTAAAAAATTTCAAATGTTTTTGTCCATACAGTTAAAGTCAATGGGGTCCAAACCATTGGACATTTTTCAAAATATATTTTTTGTTCCACAGAAGAAAGTTACTCCAGTCTTCATTGTCACATTATCAGTCACTTGAGATTCCATTTCTGTTATGATGCTGCCTTGGAAGGAAGCTGTCTGTGTAGGAAGCATACAGCAAAGTGGCTCATTAGGTTTTGGAGGTAAGCTTAAATGTATAGTAAAAGAGATGGGATTGTTCCTCAAGCAGAGCAAAAGTACAACTTTCCTTTGACACTAAATGGCTAATAAGCAACCAGACCACAATAACGAAACTCCAGCTGTCCTGTTAAGCCAAACAGGCTTCCTACATCTTTCCCCACATTCCCAATCCAGTCCACACTTCTGTCCGTGAGGTCATGGAATCCGCTTGTGTATGAATGCCTAATGTTGAACTGGCCACAGCATTAAACAATAGCCACTGTGTGCTAAGAAATTACTGTATTGCATTGATGACCCACAGGCCTGTGAACTTACCACTGGAGGAAAACTGATTTGTTAGTTTCTCCAAGTCTTCAATTTACCATCACAAACTGAATAAAAATAAAAAATCTCAAAATTCTAAACACTATCTCCAGGGCAGGTTCACTTCATAAAAATCAAGTTTATCTCAAACATCTGTAAAAAAAAAATCCTCTTAAGAGCTTCCAATGTGTTGCTGTTTTTTTATTAAAGTGACAAGTCTTGGCTAAACAGCTTCTTCAGTGCTTTCCAGTGGCTGAAGAGTGTCACAAGTTCTTCTGCTAGAAAATACAGAGTGAATTTAATACTTACATAGCAAAGGAGCTAGGCTTAACGTTAAATTGACTCACAAGAATCACCAAATTCCACAACACCAAAACATACTACGAACAACCATTTTCTATTACCATCCATAAGCCTCTTTTTTTGTTCAAAGACACTTTGAACAAAGACACTTTGAACAAAAACACAAATACACCAAATTAAAATGGAAAAAAAGATATAGGGGTAAGAAAACAGTGCAAATGTAACAAATGCATGCGAGTTCATTTATAAACCTTCTAGACTTCCAAGAAACTACTCATGGTACACGTCTTCTTTTGTAAACATCAACCATATGGCCTGTGCTCTTTGTTCCTTTTTTCACAAGATAAAATATCCAGTTTTTGGGCATCTCTCCCAAAACAAAGTCAAGTAAAAACAGAAACGGCACAAAATTGCACAGCCTGTGAAAACAACATCTCTCAACTATTTAATTCCGTAAATCTAAGCCCTTGGTAATGTTTAGCCCTTAGGTAAGGCACAACCTTAGCAGTGCGTTCCCGCTATTGGGAAGGTAGATGGATCCCTGCGGACTACAGTGCTGTAAGGTGAAAGCTCCAGCTCGGTGGTGCCGTCCTGATCGTTGTCATCACTGTTGGGCTCGGAGGACTTTGGTGGGCCGCACTCCTCAAAACAGCAGCAGCAGCAGTCCAGGAAGGCTTTGCTGAAGGGCCGACAGAGCACCAGAAGCAGGACAGGTGTAACCGCGGACTTGAAGAACAGCATCATCTGACTCACCAGATGCAAGATATCCAGCGTGCGCCGTGGCACGCCTGTAGCCATGTACACCGATACGATGTTGCTTATGTTCTCCGGAATGATGCAAAAGCCATACAGGATAGCCAAAGCAACCACGATGCAGTTCATTTGGCTTTCCAGTTGGATCTGCTTGCGGTTGCCTCGGACGCTGGTTCGCTCAGCCTTGCGGATTTTGCGTGCAGTCACCACCGAGCTGATGATGGTGAAGAGGGTGGGCAGGCAGAAGTAGCAGCCGAAGTACCACCACAGGCGAGCGCTGTTGTAGGTGAGTCCGAGCACGTAAAGTGTGTCTGGGAGAGCCGTGGAGATTCGGATTACGCAATGTTCGCACGGTATCACCTCTGGAGGCTCGAGCTCCTCTCTCACCAGCTGCCGGATGAGGAGCTCAGGTAGGGCGAGGAGCAGAGCACCCAGCCAGATCACGGTTAGCTTGGCTGCAGTAGAGATGCAGTTCTCGATCATCTCGTAGTACAGCTGGACGTTGCTTGCGGCACGGAAACGGTCAATGCACAAAGCACAAAGAGTGAAGGTACTTACTCCTAATGACGCCACCTGCAAGGTAAAGGAGATGTGTGGTCATTAAAAATAAACTTTTAGAAAATCCTTCCACTGAAAAACCTGGACAAAAAGTGGATCAAGTAACATTCCAGGTGCTATTAATATTCATTCCAGGTTCTGTTGGATAGTTCACCCAAAAATTAAAGTTCTGTCATCATCCTCTCACCCTCAAGTTGTTCCAAATCTGAATGAGTTTCTTTCTTCTGTTGTTGGTAACCAAACAATTGACTGTAGCCATTGACTTCCATTAAATGGAAAAAAAAAAAAAAGACTATGGAAATCAATGGCTACTGTTTGGTTACCAACATTATTATTCATACAGGTTTGGAAAAACTTAAACATGAGTAAACGATGACAAAATGTTCATTTTTGAGTGAACTATCCCTTTAAACTTGATTGACAACACTTGTGGCATAAAAAAGCAAAAATCTGGGTTAAACCCATATACTTCATTTTTGTACAGCATGTGCGACCAAAATCGGACGGTATGCGTACAGTATGCGCATACTATTTTGGTGACAAAATTTGTCATGCTTATGCGTAAAAACCTATACTTTGTGCTACACAGGGAGGCACTTACAATGGGAGTGAATTGGGCCAATTTGTAAACTTTTAAACACACAATAGTATAGCCACGAGACATAAACAATGTGCATTAACATGATTTTAATGCAAAAAAAAAAAAAGTTCACTAGAGTATGGCACTAGCAACACCAAGGTAATGGGTTTGATTCCCAGGGAAAGCAAGAACTAAAATAAAATGTGTACCTTGAATGCAATGTAAGCTGCTTTGGATAAAAGTGCCTGCCAAATGTGTAAACGTAAATGACAACTTAACACCTAAAATGTCAACAACAATCATATAGCTCAAATAATACATAAAAGTTTTAAATAAAGGTTTCAGCTGAAAAATTCATGTAAGTGATTTTATAAAATTATTAACATTTCTGCATTTGAAAAAAAAATGAGGAAAAGGTCTGAATGAATTAGTAATCAATATTAAGCCACAAGGGCTGTCGATTGAGCATAACTTGTACTGAACCCCTGAGCCAGTGGAACGACAAGGAAATTCAATCCCACTAGATGAACATAACCACAGCCTTTCCATTTAAGGCCATCGACTTCATTGTTAAGTTGAAGCATTTTGATCAAGTTAGCGGGTTGTTCTGAATCTAGGGTGTAGGCCCTGGTGCTCTGTAGTGTGTCAGGAGATTAAAGCCACAACTATGGCACCAATCAGGTCAATTCCTCAGAAACACATGATACACTCTGAATGCTGCCCCAGGGGCAATACCACTATCTCTTTGTGTCTGCAGATGAGACACTCCCCCTTACTGAGGAAGACAAAACACAGCAAAGATGTCTGTCCTGACCTACACATATAACATTTGCAATGCATTGAATTTCTGTCATCTACACACACACACACACACACACACACACACAAACATAGCCTTCTTGTTCATTTAACAGCATTTTTCATTTTAAAATGTGTGAACATCTCCCATTGTTAAAATGCCAACAAATCAGCTCTGGAAATTTGTCAGCTTAAGAACGTTGCAAAAAATCAAGCACATGCTTCATGTTATATATGAGAACAAAGCCACATGTTTAGTAGTTTGAACTTGTACAATATGCAGTTACGGGCGCTTTGACATAATACCACAAAGTTAAGTAGTTGACGCAAAACTAAAACTTGCAAGTCAAAAATTGTGATTATCTTACATTTGTGAAATTGGACACACACTGAATGTTTTAGCTTTTTATGCCAGTAAAAAAACTATTTCAGTTGACTGAAATAATGCAATGCAAGTATGTGTTGCAATCTCAACATTGCCACAAAAGGTGCTTTAGCTTGATTGGTGTAAACATCTTTTTCTGTCAGTTTCTCTTTCAGGTCAACAACTGTCCTGGCGGTGAAATAGTTTGACAAAAAATCTTGCTAACCAAGTTTAAGTCAATATGTATATAGCAACTTACTTGACTAATAACACATATGGTTTAGCAGAACAGCCATTTGAAGGAAACTTTAACGTCTGTCTTGAGTACTGTGCTTTGTTACTTGCAGACAAATACTAAAAGTGTCTCTGGCATAAATGTTCTGTCATTTCAGATTTAAACGGCATCAAGCTGTAACATTTTTGATGCTGATACGCAATGCAAGCTGACAGATAAAATGACAAATGAGGTGTGAATAGCAGATGTGGTGCATTCACCAGAAAGGGTAAACCAGCAACTTTACAAGAGTTTAACCAGCTTCATGTGTGAAAGTGGGATTATCTTTGAGAACCTGCTAGACTAAAGTCAAAGTCCAATGCTTCATTTTACACCATAGAGCTGGATAGGCTGCATTAAACCATAAGAGATAGAATGGCATGAAACATTCTAATATGTGATGTACAGTATGTGAACAGTTATGATCCTTATTATATCCAAACTGATTTCCTATATTATTATATAGTTTTAGTATCAATTCATCTTGCCTTACGTTACCCTTATACACGTTTTCAAATTGTAGGTCTATTACCAATAATATCACACATCAGTAACACAAACTGCATCTCAATCATCCATCAAAAGTGACCACAGTTTTACCTCAATGTATGGAATGATTTTACAGGAGAATTCCCCAAGGAGCCAATCCTTAGTGAGTTCATGGAATATAACAAGTGGCAAGCAGAAAAACAGGACGACAAAATCCCACAGGGCGAGGTTGGCCAGCAAGGAGTTTGAAATGCTTCTCATGTAGTAATTGTGGCACACTATGCACATGATTGCTATATTCCCAACAATTCCCACAGTGAAAATAAGAATGGAGATGCACATGACAGCATATGCACCGTACGATTCACCTGTCACGGGGTAAAACGGGTTCTTCACCCCTGGAGTCTTTGACCGTGTATTAAAGGGAATGAACGGGGTGAAGACTTCCTCATAGTCCTCCACAGGTGAGGCGCCCCATTCAGGGATAGACGTGAAGTCTGTGGGAAAGTCTGTAGGCTGTATCTGCGCTACAGGCTTCGGCATCGACTCGACACGCTCAAATTCATTCTCAAGCAATCTGATGGTTTGATTCCTGTCAGGCTCATTTCGCACCGTCACTCTTTCCTGTCGACGATAACGACGTTTTACGCGAATTTCGCCGTGCATTTCCCTCAGAAATGATTCTGTTTTCCTATATTTGTCCATTTGATAAGTTCTTTCGTACTTTTGCCTGGAAGACGCTCTTACCGTTGTGTTATCGCTCCCATTCACCGACGTTAAGTTGATCGTAGTCCTGGTCGATGAAAGCACATCTGTAGGTTTCTTACCCGTTTCATAACTGATTTTATTTAAAGTTACACGTCGGTCATGCCCGTCTGTATTGATTTCACGCACTTTATAGGATGAAGCGATTTTTGACGTTAAATCTGCCGCGTTATTGCTACGCGCGAGAACTACTGAGAGTTCACAACAAACGAGCAAACAAAATACAGTTAAAAATTGCATTTCCATTGCGAAAATATCCAAATTTTGATAATTCCAGTATTGTTAAGGCAAAGCTGTAGAACAAACATCAAGCGTAGTCCCGTTCGCTGGTCTCTCGTTTAGATGAACATCTCCAGTTTCCATCTTTTAATCCCAGGAGTAATATTATAACAGCAGAATTGTGATGGGAAAAAAAGTGGAAATACTTGGTCAAACAGGTGACTAACCAAACAATTAAAAACTAGTTGAAGCCCTGGAACCTCATAAATATTTACTAGCGTTTCGTCTAACAGGAAAAATGTACATGTCAGGGCCAAGAGCTTCCAGCTTCTCTATAAAGTTAGAATCCTTGAGTGCCGTTCATGGGCTCCTGATGCAGCTCTGTGATATGAAGCTCGGTCAGGGAGGCGCCGCTTTCACAGATACAACACAGTGCCACCTAGTGGACTGAAACAGAACTGCAATGCGTTTCTAGCAACAACCACCGGCTTTCGATGCTCACCATTACTTCACTTCACTTCAGATGGCTTGTTAAATATGACACGTACAGGTCTAAGCAGAACAAGTAAACAGAAAAGAGTTTTATACTTTATACTATATTCTATAGAACTAGTCATTATTTTAACTGGAAATAAGTGGGAATCCAGCAGAAAAGGCTGAACAGATGCATTATAAATATAAAGCTGTTTTATTTTACAATATGAATTTATGGATTGTGTTTGACCATAATGTATTTACATTTCTCAACACAAAACATTTCTGGCAACTCCTTTTTTCTTGTTCATCGCAGGTGCCCATCTATGATCTCTTTGCTCTATTCTTCTCTAATTTCTGTGTTAGTGATCTGATAGCAAACTTTATTTCTGTCGTTGTCCTTTACAGGGTAGACTGAGAGGCAAAGATCCAGCCATGGACGCTCTTCTACAAAGACAGTACAGAAAAAAAACATTATCTTATTCTAAATAATGTAGGAATTCAGACAAACGATTCATAGGAAATTAAATCTTTACCCAAACTGCTGTATGGTGGTTGAATTGTGTCCATGATGGTCTGAATCTGGTCCTGCAAATCCTGACTGCCTTAAGCATCTACAGCAGAAACATGGAAGAACCTCTCCTATAAAGAATAAGACAATCACTCTTATCCATTTCTAAAAAAAAAAAAAAAAAGGCAGTGCCCTCTGCTGATGTACGTTTGCAGCATTGCTACTCTTTTGAAAGACTACTTTGCAAATGGCATTGCTATAACATGTACACTCACAGCGTTCTCCCACAGCAGAGCCTCAAATGTGTCAGTCTGGTCCTCCAGATCAAACTGGATTAACAATCTGAACTGCATCAGCTGAACTCCCAGGGCTGTGAGACAGAGACACAGATGAACTCCTTAAAGGTACAGCCATACATTTTTAAGAGTGGCTGAAGTGTCTACAGGTTTTTTTTTTTTTTGGCCAACTAGAACATCACATGAGATATTTAAAAAAAAAAAAATGTTGCAGTGATGCCTGGGTCGGCTTTTTTGAAAACACACCTGAAAACATAAATTTGAACTGAACTAGGCTCATTAAAATTAACAAAACAAACAAATAATAAATAACTTAATAAACAACAACAACAAAGACCTCAATTTAATTACTTATCATTTTAAAACTGACATGACATGTTATTTTGACCTTAGCTACAGATTTTGAAGTCCTTGTTTGTGACCACTTTTTATTAGATAAAATTACATTTAATAAAAAATACAATTATTACATAAAATGAAATGAATGTTAAAATGTTATAATATTTAGTAATGAATGTATTTTTTTCTGTATGAATAAGTGATTAAGAATGTTAGCACACAGAAACTTTAGATATTTAAAGGGGCACCTATAAAATTGTTCTTATTCTATATACATTCAATTATAATAAAATATACTTCTACTCAGTACAGGGTTATTACAGTTAACTAAAACTAAGGCTAAAATTAAAACCATTAAAAAACATTTTTCTTTGTTACTTGAAATAAAATAAATGTTAACTGAAATTAGGCAACATTTCTCAATTTAGTTTAGCTTAATTTGATGTGCAAAAATAACTAAAATAAAAACTGCATGGGCCTATATTTTAATTGAAATTAAAATGAAAACAGAAAATCTAAAAATAAAAACTCAAAATGTTAATAAAAACTGTAATAGTATCAATGATACTAAGATAACAATTTGTGGTTCTGTACAGCAAAATTAAAATAATTTTCAGTACCGTTTTATTTGTTTTGACAGTACTGAAGTTAGATTAGAGAAATATATGTTAATTCTACATAGCGGGTAAAATATAGCCATAAACAGTCAAAATGAATGATGTAATTGTTAATTACAAAAAAAAACTACCTTCTGCAACTGCCTGTTCATCCCAGATCTCCACTCCAGTAAACACTGGGTTTTGAAATGTGTTCAGAGAGCACTGCTTACACCTGAGATACACACACACAAATATCCATTTAACTACATATAGATGTGATTGTATCCTCCCCTGGGGTTTGTCATGATAATAGATTTATGCAATGTATCAGGTAGGCCTGTCCTCTTACCCGTAATATCTTTTGTCTCCAGAGAACAGGAAGGGAGCTGTGAGATCCAGAAGAGTCATCCTGCCGTTCACAGATCTCACAGGAACCAGGTTTTTGTAATCCCGTGATAACACGCAAATCTCATCCAGCGTCGTTCCTGTAGATACAATGCTTTATTTGTAAATGGAAATACAAATCTATATATAAAAATGCTTCTCTTTTTAGTCAGAGATACCTTCGACAAATATCAGCTGCATGTGAGTGCTTTCCCCCACCATGTCTCTGGATATGTGCATTGAGATGGTTCTGCCAGGCTCTCTAGAACTTGCTGATGAAGTGGTGGCCCACTGCTCATCGCAAGGTTGGTTGTCTTTCACAGACTCCCGGAAGACTTTAGCAACAGCGCTGTCATCGGGAACATCTTTCCTGTCACATACAAAAAAAGTAGACTACTGTTCAAAAGGTTGGGGTTGGTAAGATTTTTAATGTTTGGAAAGAAGTCTCTTATGCTCATCAAGGGATTTACAGTTAACTAATTAACAGGTTTTTAATTGTACTGTAATTACTTGCACTGGCGACCAAGAGCTTGGAATAATTACGTTTTCTTAACTGTCTTTAAACTCACAAAGACTGAAATGATTTAATTAAAAAACAAGGGAAGACAGTACTGTCAAATATTATTTCAATTTAAAATAGCTGTTTTCTAGTTGGATATATTTAAAAATGTTGTTTTTTTCCTGTGATGGCAAAGCTGAATTTATTTGATTAAAAATACAGTAAAAACAGTAATATTGTGAAATATTTTTACAATTTAAAATAACCATTTTCTATTCTATTTTAAAATCTAATTTATTCCTGTGATGCAAAGCTGAATTTTCAGCATCATTACTCCAGTCTTCAGTGTCACATGATCCTTCAGAAATCATTCTAATATGCTGATTTGCTGCTCAAAAAAACATTTATTATTAATGATGAAAACAGTTGTGCTGTTTAACATTTTTGTGGAAACCATGCTATTTTTTTCCTATATATTCTTTGAATAGAAAGTTTAAATGAACACTGTTTATTGAAAGCAGAAATCTTTTGTAACATTATAAATATCTTAATGGTCATTTTTGATACATTTCATGCATCCTTGTTGAATAAAATAATAAAAAAAATTACTTTTGATCCGTAGTGTAAATGTAACAAAATTCAAAATGTTTTGGATTATTTATTAGGATTGTGATATACCAAGTTAAATCAGATGTGTCTTACTTAAATCTTTAAGTTGTATTCCACTTAATAGCCACCAGGTGGCAAACAGAACATATAGCAAATCTAGTATAATAAATCTATAAATGTCTGCTCCTCAAGAGTGAAACACACAAAATATAATGTTGATCCAGGAATTTCTTATCTAAGATCAAAATGATCCATTTTGAATTAAAAATCCACCCTTGAACCAGTACAGATCACACATTTAATTGTATTTAAATATTTGTCTCCAACTAATGAGTATTAAACAATTAAATAAAGTATACAATAAGCAATATTACAAAATTTCTTTTCATGAATGAGAGTCAGGAGCGGGTTGTGTAAAGTGCCAGACTCACATTGTTTTACAGTTGGAGCAGAAGAGTTTCAGGCACTGGTATAACTGCTGAGGCTTGTATTTCTTCAGCTGGGCTCGGACGTGACACGACAGCGGCGGTGTGGTGTGCTTCACCTGGGCGAGTGTGAGCCGCTGTGTGTTGTGCTCACATGTCCGTACTAAACAATCATTATAGACATGTTACAATAACAGTATTTACATCAGAGTTTGTCAGAGCCGTGGCTTAGTGGTTTGCATGCACATGGTTTCCCAATGCTGTTTCTCCAAATATGAATCCAATATTGTGGATTTACTTTTACTGTAGAATAAGACGTGACTAGTTTTTACCTGTATAAGAGGGTCCCGTGTCTGCATCTGCATCTGAAATGATAACAACAACATTATTTAATCATTAAAGCTTATTTACCTTTTTATTCATCTGTTGCAGAAAAAGCTTTGAGGAGATCTTAAACCTAGTAATATATATATATATATATATATATATATATATATATATATCTATACCTGTTTCTTCATCATTTGGCAAGACTAAAAGTAAACATAAGCACATACAGATGACGGCGAGCTAAAAATGACACAAAATTGGATAGAAATTGGAAACCAAAAGAGGCGCCACCAACCTAAAGCCTCTGGTGGCGTGTACCAAATCTCCAGTAATGTGCCATCGTTCACGTCATCACACTCATCCAGATCCACATGTTTCTCTAGCACACTGAATATGGATCAGTATAGAGCGAGAGAGAGAGAAAGAAGAGAGACACATGATTACATGAATGTCAGGTAGACAGCTAAGAGGCCACAGAAGTAATTTTTTTTAATGGAAATGAATTTGACTTATAGGGTGTCTCATTTATTTTGCCATCAAAATGCTCATGACTTCAGCAAATTCCTATATGTGAAGACTGTATATTATATCACACACAAACACACACACACAACTGTTCAAAAGCTGGTGTCAGTATGTAAAGATATTAATACCTAAATTCAGCAATGGACCATTCAAATGGTCAAAAGTGACAGTAAATATTTCAAACTAATGCTGTTCTTTTGAATTTTCTATTCATCAAAGAATCCGGAAAAAAACATGAATCAAAGTTTCTACAAAAATATTAAGCAGCACAACTGTTTTCAACATTGATAATAATAAATGTTTTTGAGCAGCAAATCAGCATATTCAGATTAGCAGATCAGAATGATTTCTGAGGGATCAAGTGGAATTCAGCTTCAAGTGATTCAGCTTTGCAACCCAGGAATAAATTACATTTTAAAATAAATTACAATAGAAAATAGTTATTTTAAATTGTAATAATATTTCACAGTAATACTGTTTTTACTGTATTTTGATCAAATTAATGCCATCTTGGTGAGCATAAGAGACTTGGTAGTGTGTGTGTGTGGTTGTGTGTACATACACACTCTACTGTTCAGAAGGTCAGTGAGATTTATACTATGATATATACATGTTGAGTCCAAACATCAAGTTCACAATGTGGATTTAAAATCTAATTTAAATCAGAAAAAAAAAATCTTCAATATTTTTTTTTCTGATTTAAATGAAACATTTTAAGATTCCACACTCTTTTCTGTCACTAATCGAATTTGTTACGCCGATAATATATTTGGTAATGGAAAGAAATAGCAAAATAGAAGCATTTTCAGTGGTTTCTAGACTCACCTCTTGAGGGACTGTAGATCAGGGCTTTCCGCAGGAAGGCTGCATAAACCTCGTCCATATGACGTCCCACCATGCAGGTGGAAACTGAGGTGTTCAGGCTTATCTGGCACCTGGTCCGGGGCTCTCTGAACGAGCGCATGGAGATTGTAGAACCGCAGTAACATGCCTGGCTGAACACAAACACAAACAGTAGGATGTTTTCATTACAACATTAGCTTTTTCAATTCTAAAGACTGATGAACCTTGAAATTGTAGTTTGCCTTGCAGAACTGTTTTTGGTAGGTCTTCAAGTACAACTGCTATTTTCAGGTCCTGCCACAACAGGATTCAAGTCAGGACTTTAACTGTACAACTCTAAAACTTTAATTTGGTTTCTTAGCCATTCAGACATAGAAAAGTGTCCATGTTTTGGATTATTGTTTGGTATCAATCAATTACACATAAGCTTGAGCACAGATATTCGGTCATTCTCCTTCAGAATAGTCTGGTATAAAGCAAAACTCATGCCTCCTTTAACAATAACAAGCCATAAAGGTCCCAAAGCAGCACCAATATGCTTCACCATACATATAGTATCACACTGTTACAGATCTCCAGAATCCAGATACAAGACAACTTGTCTCCTCTGAAGAATTTTGTAACTCATCTGTCCATGGAATATGATCCCAAAGTTCATGGAGATCATTCAGTATTGATGCGGTTTCTGGTTTTCTACTATTTTTTTTTTTTTTTTTGCAAGTGACTCCTCCTTGTTGAATCATTGAACACTGAAGAAAACTACTTTAAGTTTTCTCCATTTTGTGTTAACGACTCACACTGTGGTTCAACAGAGTTCAAGAACCTCAGAAATGGCTTTGCAACCCTCTATGGCTTTGTAACCAATTTCTTTGTTTCAAGCCTAATGGGTGCAATTACTTTCACATGGGTTTTTCCAATTAAATAAATAAAATAAAGATTTGACTATCAAAAGCATACTTTGCTTTTTCAGGTTGAAATTTCATTTGAAGATATGAAACCATTCAGAGGGAAATATGCAATTAAAGAATGAATCAAGAAAGCAAATATCTTTTTTACAGTAATATAAAAAAAATAATAATGAATGCAACTAATAATAAAATACAAAATAAGAAATAAAATAATAAAAAATCAATTCACAATTTCTCTAATCTCTACTCTAGAGTTATTCTATTGTGTGCTACATTAACAAATGTACATGAATGTTCAATGATCAGTACAGTAGGGGGGGCTATGGCATCAGTGTTGAGCAACAGAGTCTCAACATTACAGTAAGATTAGATGGTAAGAAAATAAATGTTGGTCCCTCGAGATCACTAGGAGCAACATGAAGACAGCTTGAGCTGGAATCACTTAATGGATGTCTTCATATTATGGTCTTTAAAAAGCCAAGAAGAGGATATGATATCAAAACACCTCTAAACAGATAGTGTCAGATTTCTGTTCTGCATTTACAATCTGGTTCTGGGAGTCCTCCTATAGCTGTATGCTATTGACATCATCTTTAAGGTATTGGGCAAAAGCTATGTCTTTGTTTTCCCTGAATTCAGCACCCCAGGCCCTGTTTGTACAGAGATTTGAAGTAAGCCTAAGTGCTGGCATTCACAAGAACTGGTTGGATGCGACACAGCCTCTAGACAGTGCTTCTACACAGTCTAAAACGGCATTATGAAGGTGCAAACCAAATAATTTGAACAAACTGAATGGTGGCATCAATTATTCAGCATCAATATTTGATTGAAACAGACTTATTCCATAAACAGAACAAGGTGGGTAAACACATTTCAAGAAAACAAGCTTGCTTTCCATGAGTGCAAATTTGAACTGATTCTGCTCATTACCATCTTGCTTGAGAATAAGCTGACAACTGAAAACCAGGGTGTGAGATTGGAGCTAAAAAGAGAACTTGGAGTGATAAAAATGGCCTTTAAGAATTATGGCTGGATCCATTGAAAGAACCAAACGTTTTCCTTCATATCCAGCAACAAAAACAGCACTGTAAATTCCAATTAGTAAACCTTACTTAAAAAAAGCATGCAAACAGATTGCCTTGAAAATACCAAGTAAAGTGAAATAAGAATAATAAGTTGTAATAACAAAGGTTTATTTAGAGTTGTAAACTTACACGCAAGTTCTGGTAACTCAGAATCACTATTTTCAACAACTAAATGAATAAGTACAATATACTATGTGCGTATTTCAAACAACTCTTTTATTTAAGTTGAGCCAACTCATGTAACATTTCCTGCAACTTGGAATTTCTAAGTTGTATTTACTTAAACAGCAATCTGATTTACTTGCTAAAAGCATGCAAACCGATTGCCTTAAAAAAAACAAGTAAGCGTTACTCCACTAACTTAAGTGCTTCAGATATCCATTACAAATTACTGACAACAATGTTCTATTCATCACACACACATACAATTACACATAAATTTAAGGTAGTTGAAAGTTCAAAGTTAAAGGTAATATTTTTTGTTTTTTTTCTCAGTACAGTTTTAACTTGTATTACAAACATTTTGAAACAAAGCAAAAACAATCTGATTTAGGGTATGCTTCTTGTAAACAGTGGAGGTAGCAGTACAATGAATAAGTATGGCACTGGGTTGGCCGCACATGTTTCCAATGTTTTTTTT